GGCAGATTATCGAAATAGAAACAAAAATGAAAGTAAAAATCAAGGATGACAGTAAGAAAGAGAAAAGAGGAGAAAAGGCGAGCGATACAATGTGATAATTTAAGTTGTTTCTTAAAATTAAAATTTCCATTTCTTGCATCAAAAGTTTGATACGTCAACCCACTCAAGTTAAAATTTTCAAAGCAAGCTAAGAACATTACCGTGGTTCTACCGTGTTTCAAAATTTCAGGCAAGTCTCACTCTAGTATGCCGCGTCCATTGGCACCTGATCCAATTAAGGTTCTGCCATGTGTTTGGTTTCTATTCAGAACCAATAGAAATTGCATTGCGGTAACATATCCATCTATCTATCTAGCTCATTATCCAATTTGAGATAAATCCTTATATCGGCGCTATAACAGTAAATGGAAATATTTACTTCTACTGAAACTATAGTGGTCTGTCTAGTGGCTCATGACATCCACACAGTCAGACACCCAGACTACTACAGAGATTACTACTTTATATATAAAGATATACATATACATTTATATATACATATATATATATATAAATATAATAATAATAATATATATATATATATATATATATNTGCTGTCTTAGTCTACGATACGATCTAAGACATTTAACATATCAAACTATGAATTCTGTTAGATAAAATTGTCAATAAATATAATATATATATTTATTATCTAAAGTTGAAATAAAAAAGCATATTTCGATGAATTTGTTTTCTACGCAAAAATAAAAAACTTTTTCTAAAACACATTGCTAATTTTATATTGATAGATAGATCTAAATTCCGTTATACCAAAAGTTGCGTAAAGGGCCATGAAGTCTAGTCTTTGTAAAAAATGCTTCTCCATAAATAATCAATAAAGTTTACGATGATAGTTGATATATTTGAAATGTTCCTGCAAGAATTCATTGAATTCAATAGTGTCGTACAGCGTATCTTCAGAAACAGATCGAACCATGGATAACAACTGACTTTCTAAAATAAACATGCGAATAAAAGAATTGTCAAAAACAATAGGGATGTCATTATTATGTTTACTTGAAGATCTATGGCTAAGAGACTTTATGGCCATATTTAATTTAAATTCTTTGGTCTATAGGGATGTCATTATCATATTTACTTGAAGATCTTTGGCTAGATGGGTTCATCCAATTTCTTTGAAGTTTTTTGGCCTAGATATGTCATCTTCATATTTACCTGAAGGTCTTTGACCAAGAGACTTCATGACCACATTAAGCTCTGCAAAGGACAGAACTCCGTCTTCATCTTTATTAATAAATCAAATCAAAATTTAATTCTATTTTATTTTATTCATAGGACTATTTAAAATCATAAGCTCTGAGGTTCGTCTTCATATTTTACAGTTTAATTGTTTTCTTGTAAAAATCTGGGCATTCCTGAACAATGGTCGGTGAAACGGAAATCATTGTTTACAAATATACCTTTGTTTATAACAAGACTTGTTTTTGAGTTGTCTCTTTATGTCCAGGGGCGTACTCAGGCGTACTATGGTTTCCAGTTTTTTTTTAGACCCCAAAAGGTGCTGAGTTCCCCCTATAAAGAAAGAAAAAGAATCATTGTTTTTTATATCTTTAACAAGCCTTTTACCTTTTAACCCACTTTCCGTAGAAAGGGGCTTTAGGGGCTCAGCCCCCCCTGGATCAGTGAAATCTATGGTTTCCAGGGTTTTTGGCCCCAATGGTTGCTGAGCCCCCTTGGATAAAAGAAAAATTAAGCCCTCCTGGACAAAATCCTGAGAACGCCCCTTTTCATTATATTATTAAATTATTAATTATTAATATCATTCAAGCTATGTTTCATGCACAGAATATGAATGAATGGAAAATATGAATAGTTCTTAAATACTTGTAAATTGTACTTTAAACATTATGATTTTGAGGGGATATAAAGAAATTTGTGGGGGGGGGGAGGATAATTTTGTTCAAAAATTATAATTGCAACCCCCCCCCCTTTGAAGAAGAGTAGTAAATTTTCAACGTATATACAGTTTACACACACATAAGAAGGATGAAAATGATATTAAGAAGACGACTTGAAACTTATAAAATTTAACAATCCCAAGATGAACTTGAGGTTTCTACCTTGAATAGACCTTTTTTTATTAGCATATTCAATGATTTAGCAAAAAAAAAACAGTTAACAGATGCAGAAAACCAGTATTGGAAGGAAACAGACAGTATAAATTCCGCACAGTCGTCTCTGAAGTCTGTGGTTAACCCTGTAATTAAAGTGAGAAACGCTTCAGCAGAGTAAAAAACTAGAATTAAAAATTGCTCAAAAGTCAGTTTTGCAAAGATTTTTTTATTATTCTTTTTTTTCTAGAGGAAGACTTGAAAAAGTTGCCGCAGAGACCAATCCTACCAGCGGATATCAAACCTGAAAAACCTGAAGCAGAATCCCAAATTGTAAAATCGGAAACAAAATCCCAAATTGAAAAGTCGAAAACAAAATCCCCAAAAGTGAAATCTGAAACCAAATCCCAAAATAAGTCGGTAATTAAATCCCCGAATGTAAAATTTGAAACAAAATCCCAAAACCCGGATCTCGAACCACCATTGCTCGAGCCTAACTATCCAGATTCAGAGCAATCCGACTCAGGGAAAACATTTTTAAATATTCACTTAATTCTCTATTTTTTTATCTGCCCGAATAATGCTTAGAATTTTTTATGCAGGAAGAAATATATAAAGTAGTTTTGGACAAGTTTTAATTCTGACCATTTTTCTCTACAGTGGTTGCTGCAGAAATCATCCGTTTTTAGATAGAAAAACAAAGATATTTCCTTCTTTTTTGCTCAGACAGGGTTTAAAGTTTTAGTGTTCCACTGTGAATAAGACATGCCCAGATTTTTTTTTAAAATGGAGGATCACTTTAAGAATGATGCAAGCTTCATATTTTTAAAATATTTTTTGAATAAAAAGTGTCGAAATTCAGAAACTGAATCGTCTTCATCTGAATACGAATATGAGGAGACGTATACGTTAAGGTAAACATTTTCTAGGATTATTAACGCTATTTCAGTGCAATTTTCATGCGGATCCGGATCAAGGATCCACATTGGAAAAAAATGAATCCGGATCCAAATCTGGATACGGATCCAGGTCATAAAGATTTATTTAAGATTTACCGATTTTTTTGACACAAAGAATTTTTAAATTATTTTTCTTTCTTTTTTTCATTTATCTTTTTGCAACAACTATTCAAACCATTCAGAGGTAAGCTGAGGACATTTATCTTTTTTCAGATCTATTAAGAGCAAAATACTTTAAAAAAAAATGTTTGATAAATTGCCCTTGGATCCGGATCCTTGAATCCGCATATTTTTGCGGATCCGGATCCAGGAAGCCAAAATGTTGTGGATCAAGCGGATCCGGATCCTAAGCACTGCGTTATTTGTTGACATTATGTTGTTGTAAAATCTCAGGCTGAAACTTTTCATCGAAAATGTCAAATCCTTTTTGAACCAGAAAATATACAGCAGTAAATTGGAAGCAGCATTTTATGAAGAAAAAAATTGATAAAATAAAAACTCATTCAGTAAATAACGATTTGAGAAAAGGGAACTTCGATTTTTCAATTTTTTCAAAACGTGTCGACACCACTTGATACTGTACAATTGTCCGTTTTTTGATATGTCAAAAAATATTGATTTATTGATTAATATATTTTATTAAAACTTGGACTTTTCGAGTTTAATTAATTTTCTTGATTTTAATGTTTCTGAATTCGATGTTTCAAGACAGATATTTTGATACCCATCTTGATTTATTTTTACGTTTGTTTTCTGGCTTACTTTTGTGATTTGATCTACACAAAAATTCTAATTTTTGAAAATGTACCAAAAAAAAACTTTAGGACATGGTGCAAAGTGGATTTGAGCATTTTTATCACCCTTGCCGTTAGAGTAAAATTTCGTGATCAGTCATAGTTTTTAAGGCTACCGTTGTAAATGATGGTTCTCTTGAAATTATGTTTACAGTCCCTTTAAGCTTGTATTGTTTAGGGAATGGTATCCCCCGGATTTCTGGAGATCTCAACTCCAGGAGAACAGGAATATTGTTCTTACTGATGTAACAGTCGGTGGTAAAACATTCACCGTTAGGAACTTACAACTGACAAATCTTTATATATAAAGTCGCAATCTCTGTTTGTCTGTTTGTTTTTATGTCCGATCATACCTCAGGAACCCCTTAACCGATTTTCCTCAAATTTTGATTGGGGAACTCGGGAGAACCGCGGAAATATCCGTGCTTAGTTTTGAGATTCTATTTTCAGTGGGTCAACTTTTATTAGGAAAAATAGATAAAATAGTATTTTATGACCAAGCTCGGGTAAATGGCGGAAGTATCTATGTGTACCCTGGGCAACACTGGGTTCTATAGCTAGTCTGATATACTCTTATACAGGGAGACCCATAAAACCGTGAGATAGGAAGACGACACTTAAGCAATCTCTTGTATATTTTATGTTTTAGAGCAAATAGTTTCACTAGTAGTTTGAAATCAACTTATAAAGGGAAACGGGTCTGGGCATACTGCACAATTTCGGTGTTACATATTAATTTGAATATTTAAAAAACCATTACTTTATGGGTCCCATTAATTATATTTTTTTTATGTTAAGTAGGATTTTATATTTTTGCAAAAATATTTTCTTTCCCAGTAAGAAATGCTTGCTTTAATTTCAACAGCGATAAAATTGTACATGCTTACAGTTTTTTTCTGAATCTAATCGACCAAAATTTTTGAATGGATGGCAAACGTGCCATCCAAAAATTTTCTTTAAAAATAGGAAGCTAGCAGTTTGTTAACTTTTTATCATTTTCAACTATAAAATTTGTCGATATTTACTAGTTTGTTAACAAGTTGTATTCTAGTCCAAATAGTTTTAAAAATAAGTTTTTATCATTTTTAAACGTAAAATTTTTCGATACTTTGATATTTACCAGTTCATGGTTTAGGGAGAGTTCGGAAAAAGACGGATTTTTCTCGAACCAAGAGTCTCGAGAAAAAGAAAATGGCGGAGAAGTGAAATCAGCTGAAATGACGGGAAATAAGGAAACCTCAATACGAGAAAATGGCGCTAAATGGGGAAACCAATATTTGAATAGATGAAATGAAAACTATTAAAATACCTTAATTTAAAGTAAGAAATGTTGTGAAATTTTTGCCGATAAGACTTTTTAAACTTTAAGACTGATATTTAAGGGCCTTGTATTTGTATTAAATCAAAACAAACGAGCTTCAAAGAACAATTATTTTTCTTGAATTTCAAACAGAAATTAACCGTAAACTTTTTGATACTTTTAACCCGATAATTAATTTATTTTCTTTAAACTTACTTTATTTTTCCCAGTTCAGCTAATAAGACTAATAAAAGCTTAAGACTAATAAAAACTAAAGTTTTTGTATACATCATAAAGATAAGCGAAAAAGAAGAATTTTTTAAAATTTGAATTGTTGAAAAAATTTGAAGATTTGGATCCGGGTCCATTTTTTTCAGGGTGGATCAGGGTCCATTTTTTTCTGGCGGGATCCGGATCAAAATTAAATGGATCCTATTCATAAATACTAATTTGAAGAAACAAATTTAGATAAATCTGTAATATTTTAACAGTCTGTGCCTTTTATTGAATAAATATAGTAAATATACAGGGTGTCCCAATAAACATGAGAATTGAGTGACAATTTCGATATCGTCATTTTATATATGACTTTCGATTTAGTATATTGATGCCGACTAAGAAAACTATGCTCCGTAGAATTTATTTCTGCTATGTTTGGAATTTGTTTGTTTATGTTTTGACTGCATATGGTTGTACTTTCTGCGTAAAAAAATTATAGCATACAAAAACTGTAAAAAATTTTCCGTCTTCGCTTTACATCTTGCATGGGTAATACAGACCCATCAAACAGCCATTTACCGTTTTCATAAAATAAACACTAGCAGACGCCAATTAAATATTAAGACTTCTTAAATCAGATATTACAATGTTAACAAAGACTAAATTGAATTCGCCACTTAATTCTCATGTTTGTTGGGACAGCCTGTATTTAATTGATGAATGTTTTGAAAATACAGGGTTGAAATTGTGATTTTATACCAAAGAGAATAGAATATATATTAGAGTGGAATTTTCTAGTAATATGTATAAAACGGCTATTTTGTTGTACTGTTTTCATACTGCAGGTGTACTTCACATATTTGTGCTATATAACCTTTTGGGCCCTGGACCATCATTTTACAGAAAATCTCAAATTAATATTAAAAGAAAACCAAATTATGAAATAGACTGCTTTCATAATTGGGCAATGATCATTTCACAAAGACTCTATGCCTTTCACTTCACAAACGATGATGTTCACCTAATTCATTTTATAAAGTTTATTTAACAGCTTTAAAAAATTCGAAATTGAAATAGATAGTGTAGGGAACATACTGTATTACCGTACTCTACTGCATATAATTTGTGAACATTTACATGATTTGTACACTTTGAACTCCCTTTCAGGTTAAAAGGGACTGACAAAATTCATACCGAGAGATTGTCTAAATTCCACACTAATATATATTGTATTCTCTTTGTTTTATACGCTTGTTACTATTTAATAAAAGTTCAATATGTCATGTCATTTCCCGTAAAATTTGAATTTTTGATGAAATTACTGTTTCTTTTTTAACACCGTGCATTACTAAAAATGATTCTTATTAATCTAAAATGTAATTTGTTTGTGATTTCTTGATAATGTTTTCAAATATTAAAAATGAAATGATTTAAACAAAACCCGTGTGATATGAATTGATATTTTAATAAATATTTTATTATTTTTCTTTCAATACATTTTATTTAATCTACTAAGTTCAACTACTTCTTATCCAAGAACTTTGGAGGTATGGACTAGGACTAAAAAAAATTCGTTTTCTTTACCTACTAACAATGAAATGCTGTAGATATTTTTTTAAAGAAAATATTTATATGGAGATCTTTATAACTGTTACCACATATTTCATGACTATTATTTATCCTAGTAAATATTTGAGAATTACAAACCCCATTGAAAAATTTTCAAGACGACATTCTATTGATTCTTTCGATTTCTTCGAAGTTCTGGGTTTAACTGTATGAAAGTCACAGCGTTTCTTCGTTACTTTAATGTCATTTACGATAAGAAAATATCTTACCCATTCAGCATTCTAGGAAACATTAATAATCTTGTTCATCCCTGGCCTAGTCTTTTTCTCCCAGAGAACAGTGTAAATATATTTGTATTCGCCAAAGTAAGAGAAAGTGATGCTTTGCACATTTTCACGAGAAAAGTTTGCGCATTTATAAGATGAAAAACGCTAAATTCCGAAGTTTAAACAAAAATATAACCTTATCAGAATTAATATTCACAAAATATTATCAACAACACAGTTGAATTTACTTATTATCATTGAAAAATTTAATCTGTTAATAATGTTGCTTAAAGAATTGAATAGAACTGCAACTAACCGGAAATTGACTTTTCCAAGTGTTTTCTCAACTGTTTTGATGAAATTTCATCAAAAAAAAAAAACACTTTGAAAAGTCAATTTCCAGTCAAGTTGGCAGTTCTCCCTGGTAAATCCTCGCTAATAGTGAATTATTAGTTTTATTATTTATTAGAATCCAGTCATAATTCTGATCCAAGTATATGTCAAACTCTGGATCCAATTAAATCCAGATGAAAATTTATCGCAACAAACTTGATTATTCCATTTTATTCCTTACAGAAATCTCCTTTTCCGAAACCATTTTTTCTCAGCTGGTTCCCTAGACTTCAAGGACTTCATGTAAAACTAAAAAGAACTGTTATTGTAATTTAAGAGACCTACGTTTTAAATGATGAGAAAACCCAAGTTTACAACAATACCCTTAATCTGATAACGTCGTTCGTCTATAAAGCTTAAAAAAGGTTTATTTCTACTGGTTTTAATTATTAAAATATTTTAAATATTACAGACGGATTTAAGAATATTTGGTATATTTTCCTATGCAAAATCCATTCTAGATTCTCTAGACAACACTGTTCTGATTTATTTCCTGTTAGCCTCCAGGAAAACTAGGCAAACCTTTCTTGTTATAACATAATTAGTTCCGCTTCTGTACTCTATTTCCTCTACGGTACTGCAGTTTAGTTCCATACTGTACTATAGTTTAGTTCCTCTACTGTACTACAGTTTAGTTCCTATACTGTACTGTAGTTTAGTTCCTCTACTGTACTGTAGTTTAGTTCCTATACTGTACTATAGTTTAGTTCCTATACTGTACTATAGTTTAGTTCCTATACTGTACTGTAGTATAGTTCCTATACTGTACTGTAATTTAGTTCCTCTACTGTACTGTAGTTTAGTTCCTATACTGTACTGTAGTTTAGTTCCTCTACTGTACAGTAGTTTAGTTCCTCTAATGTACTGTGGTTTAGTTCCTCTACTGCACAGTACAAATTTTATTTAACTTAAAAAAAGTCTAGCCAAATTGTTCTTTGTAATAACATTTAAAGAAATGAAAGCTAAAAGCTTCTGGGTCTAACCTGCAATAATTCTCGTTGGTTCTTGAAATAAGAATATTCAGAAGGATTAAATGTAGAAAATGAAGATTCGAATATACATTATTATTATTATTATTAACAATATACATACTATAACTTACAAACACACAATTTATCAAAAACTATTCTCTACCAAATATATAAATATTTTGTTCAGTAAAATATGTTGAACAGAAAATAACACTGGAAACTATTATTTACCAAACATATAAATTAAATATGTTGATCAGTAGAACAGTAAACAATATCGGAAACTATTATCTACCAAACACATAAATATGTTGTTCAGTAGAATATTTTGAACAGTAAACAACATCGGAAACTATTCTCTACCAAACATATAAATATGTTGTTCAGTAGAATATTTTGAACACTAAACAACATCAGAAACTATTCTCTACCAAACATATAAATGTGTTGTTCAGTAGAACATTTTGAACAGTAAACAACATCGGAAACTATTCTCTACCAAACATATAAATATGTTGTTCAGTAGAATATGTTGAACAATAATTAACATCAGAAACTATCATCTACGTCAAACATATAAATGTAATATGATGTTCAGTAGAATATGTTGAACAGGAAATAACATTTGAAACTATTATCTACCAAACATATAAATTAAATATGTTATTCAGTAGAATATGTTAAACAGTAAATAACATTTGAAACTATTATCTACCAAACATATAAATATGTTGTTCAGTAGAATATGTAAACAATGTTGTAAAACTAGTTTGACGACTGAATGGCACAAATGATGTCAAAGAATAAAAAAAATAAAACGCATTTTCTCAAATTAAACTAAACCAAGCTTCTACATTTTTGTTACTTTAATCATGATAAGGAGTTCTAACCCGTCCGCTGCTTTTGTTGTAATCTTCTGTAAAATGCCTTGATGCACTACCAGTGCAATCCTTTCTTTCCGTGCGCAGGGTCAGTGGATCGAGAGAGGAACAGCATTAAGTTAATAGGATATACTATTCTCCCCTTACTCCCATGATGATANTAAATATTGAATACAAATCTGAGCAGGTTAGGTTCTCTGTGTATTTACATCCTTTCTCGTGTTCATCTAATAGATCGAGTTCACGGAGAAATACATTGTAATTTTAGCCGGTCCGTTTCCTTTTTATTTCAACCGTTATTTTCTTTTTCAAATACGGCTAATCCATTTCGTTAACGATCTAAAAATGATCGGTTTGAAATTATAAAAAAGTGGCTACATTTGTATGGACAGAAACACAAATTATGCGTTTTATAATCCTCTATGTAAATAACTCTGTATGTGTACTAAATTGTATCATTCTCCCTCTTTAAGTTAAAAATACTTACTTTTTTCTCACTATCAGTTTTTTCATCTCCGGCATCAACATCTATCCTTTCATTCATCTTCCAATCCATCCATTGTCATCCATATTCATGTTTGGTTATAGTATGGTCTTGGTACTTCTCTACATCTATCCTTTCATTCATCTTCCAGTCCATCCTTGTCATCCATATTCATGTTTGGTTATAGTATTGTGTTGGAACTTCTCTACATCTATCCTGCTTGAATCATGGAGGCCCTCATATTCAACATTTGCCATGCTAGCGGTTGTAAGATCTTCTGAAATATAGTTTTTCAATTAGATTTTGGGGGAAATAACTCCTGAGCCCGAAATTTAAAAGAGTATCGTTGAACGAAACTCACGAGTTTCCTTTTCGGGGTCTTAACATTTTGTAGATTTTGATTTAAGATACGAAAAAATGGAGAGCATGAAAAAACTAAATAAAAAAATATTTCATAACAAGAATATTGATATCCACAAAAATGTCTAAGCCCATTCGTAAAACCCGAGTTTTAAAACGGGTTTTCATAACGATACCCAATCTTAAGTTTTGGGCTCTGAATTATACACGAGTACAAAGTTCAAAGTGTACACGAGTTCAAAGTTCACAATGTTCATGAGTACAAACTTCACAGTGTACACAAGTTCACAGTGCACACAAGTACAAAAGGTACACAATAAGCTGGTGAGCTTATTATATTTCATCTTGAAATTTCTGTCTTAATCTTCTTTTTCGCCCCTCCTCGTTTTCCGGTTGCTTCTAAACAAATACTTTTCTATTTCTTGATCCATATGAAAAGGTGCTATTTATGAATTTTTGAAATATGGAACTTTCTTATAAGAAATCTTAGCATCAACCATAAGAAGTTGTACACTTAGGTTTGTTATATCTGAAAATCCGAAATTTCCATTATATAAAGTGAGAACCAGCAAACACTGGAATACTAAGACGACGGTTAGACTACAGTTTGACTTAACATATTCTAATAAACATGTGCCACGGCAAGTATGCAGTATAAACTCACTGAACACTAAACATATCTATTTTACTTAAAGGGACAGTGAGTGTTGTTTCAAGTAACCCTCCATGAAAAGATGACAATGTCCGATTTACAACGGTAATACCCTTGAAACCTTAATCTGATTAAAAATGTGGAAGATACCGTCGGTTTTTTAACTCTAAAGTATTATTTTTTTTAAGTTTATACACAAGAAATGCGCAAATCACTTTCGCAAAGAAACTGCGAATGAAAATTAACAGTTAAAAGAAACAAAAACATTGATATCTAATTAATGCTTGATCAGACAAAAACTTTCAAGGTATACCCTTGTATTCCATCTTTACATGGAGATTGGAGGGTCACTTCAAATTAAACTTACAGTCTCTTTAATTTAACTTTAACTTATAAGCTACTCATTTTGTAACACAAAAACACATTGGTATTGGTTTAATGTCGTCTTCCAATTCTAAAATTTTCTGGTTTTCATTGTAATCAAATCAATGTGAGAAGAACTGAGGTTGAGGGAATATGACTGCGACGGATTGTAAACAAACCGTTCACATTAAGAAAAACGAATTCTACGAGGGAGGGGGAGCAGAGTCACCATGAGCCCCGCAAAATGGTCTCCAAGCTTACGTATTTCCAGATGAGTATTCAAAATGGCCTTGCGCTAACCATGAACGTAAGAATAGATATTATAGAAGTATCAAATAACATTTTTAAAGAAAATATTTAATCTTTGAATAGTTATGCAGTGATTTCTTGAAAATCCAAAAAACATTGCATAACTATTAAAATATTCAATATTTTTTTCATTTTTTTATACATTACTTCTATAATACCTTTTCTAGAGGATAGGGGTAGCGCCAGGTCATTTTAAATACTCATCTGCAAATCCAGCGGCTTTGAGACCATTTCGCGGGGCTCATGACGTCCCTGCACCCCCTCCCTAATTCTGCATCAGACAAATATTTCCGAATAAATGATTGACTTATTATTGAATTAATATTAGTTTTTTTCATTACTTTTATACCTTTTTGTCGTTAAATGTTAAGATTTTTCGATTGAATGTAAAAAAATTGAATGTATTTTTGTAAATATATTTATGTAACCTGAAGCGTAACTCGTCCATTCTGACTCTTCACAGTGAGGGTTGGTAAATATTCGCCTAGAAAAAAAAATAATTTCCCTCAAAAATGAAAAAGGTCTGCAAAAAAAAGACTTGGAATAGGAGCAAAAAACCGGTGAAATTTCAAATAATCATATTAGTGATGTGCTATCAGTTGGTTCGTTTTTCGGTCGTTGTTGCACATATTTTCTTTTAGTGTCAAATCTTGCCGTATTGTATATTTGCTTATCCTACACTTTCCCCTTTCTTAAACTTTGTCAAGCTTTGACCCTGGCAGAAGATATATGCAACAAACGATCCAAAAACGATCCAGCAATGATCGTGTTGTCAACATCGTTTTTAAATCCATTTTATTTTATTTTTTTAAGATTAAGATATTGCAAAGTTTAATATAAGCAAACTTTATCATATTACAGTTGTAAAATCTTTATCATATTACAGTTGTAAAATCTTGAAAGTTTTATTACTTTTTATCTGAAAACGATCCAAAACGCTTAAAAATACTAAATTCATAAGTATGATTAATCATAAATATGTCCCGTACAGAAACTCGTGAACACTCCCTTTAAAAAAATAATCTTACTTGGTCCAGTTGTGACTCCGGACACAAAACATTCCTCCCCGGATCCTAAAAAAATTATTTTTAAAATTTTATTTTTTAATTCAAATTCCATGAGGTGTGGTCGAAAAAAGGTGAAATAATAATTTTAAAAGAAATGGTGAAAACAAAAATGTAGGCGTATTACGTACGACTATCTCTGAAAATATACTTCTGCAGGAAGGTTTAAATGTCAATTATTGTATTTTTGCCTCAATTTCTCTAAGAAAATTATCTTACCAAAATTTTAGAAGTGTAACAAAAGCTTTTTAGAAGTTGGCCATCATGAAGCAAATTATAAGACATTTCCAAAATAAAATTAGGGAAAATTGATGAAAAATATTTTATATACTTTTAGCAAACCTGATAAATAGAATTCTCCAGCATTTATTATTTGAGGAGAAATATCTAGGGTAGAACCAGTTACTGATAACCTAGAATATGTCAACATTATTGATAACCTAGAATATGTCAACATTATTGATAACCAAGAATATGTCAACATTACAGATATGTTAGAATATATCAACATTACAGATATCCCAGAATATGTCAACATTATAGATATCCTAAAATATGTCAACATTATTGATAACCTAGAATTTGTCAACATTATTGATAACCTAGAATATGTCTACATTACAGATATCCAAGAATATGTCAACATTACAGATATCCTAGAATATATCAACATTATAGATATCCTAGAATATGTCAACATTACAGATATCCTAAAATATGTCAACATTACAGATAACCAAGAATATGTCAACATTACAGATATCCTAGAATATGTCAACATTACAGATATCCTAAAATATGTCAACAAAACAGATATCCAAGCATGTGTCAACATTACAGATATCCTAGAATATGTCAACATTACTGATATCCTAGAATATTTCAACATTATAGATATCCTAGAATATGTAAAAAAAATGCTAACTATGCTTCTAAAGTTCTAGGAAGCTTTGTCAGTATTTTCGACGATGAACTAACAACTTTTAGAAATCAAAATTAAAGATTTATTAATGATGTTGAAAAAATAAAATAGGTTTTAAGGTATGTGAAAAGAATAAAGATTCTTAATAAAAATTGTATTTTTAAGCATCTTTCTATTTCGCGCCAATTTTTGACATCCTTTATTTCATTATTTGATTATATCTTTTACTCTTATAATATTACTTTTTTTCTTTAACAATAAAACAATAAAAAAAAATCACTGTATACACCTGTGAAATCTAGGAAGACGACTGTTAAGAGTCCGATGAACTTAAAACACAGCAATCTTGCAGTGTACACAAAACCATTTTATTTAATAAGATGATTTCTTGCTTTTGCTCAAATAATGTCTATATTACAACATCAAATACTCATCCGACTGCTTAATTATTTTAACCCTATTCCACAGTTGTATGCGTCTCACAGCAAATGTATCAAGGGGTTCATCAGTTTGGAATACAGTGATAAACTGAAAACTGTAGAATAGGAAGACGACATTAAAGCAATACTGGTGTTGCTAAAAAGCAGATAGCGTTACTAGTAAGTTATTAAATCATTTATTAAGTAAAATATGCCTGTTTACACTGCACTTTTAATGTATCTCATGTTAATTTGACTATTTAAAGTAAAAACTTCATTCTAAAAGTCGAATTGCTATTCCACATATTTCCGATTACCACTATTATTATTATTATAATTATTAACAATAAACCTACAGACAAAATACCACGACCTGTTGGTTAAAATACAATGAAAACAGGGTTGAGCTCCTCCCCTTGCCCTGGTCTAAATGGGATCTAATAGTAGTGGTAATGCGTTAATGCAATATTCCTAACAAGATGAGGTGGAAAAATATCAACTGCGATAATCTTTCTTAGTTATTTAAGATGGACTTGTACTTTGTCTGTAGGTTGATTGTTAATAATAATAATAATAATAATAACAGTGTAATTTACATAATAAAGCTATTGGCTCATATGTGTATATAGTATATATATATATATATGTTAGCTAAACAAGCTGGCTAAACGGCTCGACCAAATGGCTAATTTTTTTGGGGTATCCTGGGGGTAATAAGGCTAAACAAATTCAATTTAAAAAAAAGTTCCACGGGCAACGCCGGGCACTTCAGGTCGCAAAAACATAAATCTAAAAAACTAAAATATAAAGTAAGTCTACTTTCCTCAGTTAGTTCTTCAACGTTCACAAACATAGAACCGGTTTTTACAATGGCCACTAGACTCCCCTAGATGAACATTTTATTACATGGATATTTATATGATTAGAACGAGAACGAGAACGAGAACGAGAACGAGAACAAGAACAAGAACAAGAACGATAATGATAATGATAATGATAATATTAAAAATAATAATATTTTTTACCTCTACAAGATTGACTGAAACGTTACCCTGCTGTTTAACTAGTATATTGGCAGTTCCGTACAAATATCTAAATAAACATAATAATCTGATAAAAATAAACAAAAATAGTTAACAAGAAAAGTGTACTGCATATTACTGAATGTAAACAGCGCAGACTGAGCTGCACCTCTTCGATTCACATCGACACCCCTTAAAAGCTTTGTCTGATCAAGTATAATCATGTTTTTGTTAAAGAAAACTGATTATTTTCATTTGAAATGCACATTTCACGGTAAACTAGAGGTCCCGGTTAAACATCTAGAGTCTTAACTTTAGACCCCATTTTCACACAATAAATGTAGATATTTAGTATTTGATATTTTATACTTTTTGTTGGACTAAATATTTCGAATATTTAAGTGTGTAAGGTTGTTGACGGATTTTGAATGAGAGATCAAAATATAACTATAAATATTCCGATACAGATAGGATGCACTTGGTTGTACTTAGTTTTACGTGATTTCTTGCTTTAGAAACAACTAGGAAATTATGAATGTTTTTAACGCTAAAATGAATACGGTGTCACTGTCAAGGGTCATTTAATGTTTAATAATTTATAATAATTTAAGTAAGTAGTTATTTATTGAGTTAAAAAAAAAGAAAAGGAAAAAAAGGAAAGAAAAAGTATAATTTAAGTGTACATTTTTAAATAAATGGTGATGAATTGTTAACATTTCTCGATTACTAGGCTTTTAGGGCGTTTCGCGCTCATCTTCTATTTAAATTGTGAACATGTTCTTTTTGTTTACATTTTTAAACAAAGAAGACAAAAATTTTTGCAGATTTTTAAAAAAAAATTCGCGGATTTTCAAGAATTTTATTTTTTTTAACAAAATTAAAAACCTTTAAAACACATTTTTTTTCTTATCATTCATAAACCTTCCCTATGATCACGTGATGTCTCACAAAAAATTTAGACCCGATCGGTTCAGCCGTTTTGACGTTTATTGGATACAAACAAACAGATAAACAGACAGAAAAGCCAAATTTATATATAGATAAACTCACAACTAGGAATAAGAATTATTGACTTTATATTCAATAACTCATCCATAATATTTAATAATAATTTGTAATAATCAAAAATAAATACCTCAGATGAATATTCCCTGTAACTGTATAGAGTTCTGCTAGTTCAGCAAAACAATCACTCCATAGGCTTATATCACCAGAAATCAATTAATCAGTCAATCAATCAGTCAATCAATTAAACAAACACGCCATAGCTTATATCACCAGAATTCGTAATTACCTTCAATACTTGGGAAGTTGCCTTGGGAAATTGCACATTTAGGAAGTTGCCATTTGGGAAAATACCCTTGGGAAGTTGCCGCTTGGGAAGTTGCCTTAGGGAAAGCACCAAGCACTAATATATACCTTTAATTTATTACTGACAAGTATTCTAGAAACGAAGTCTCCATCTCCGAATATTTCTGCTGTAATACATCCCTCCACAGTTCCCTCACACACTATATCACCAAATCTAGGGCATCAATCAATCAATCAATCAATCAATCAATCAATATCAATCAATCAATCTATCAATCAGAGTTTTAGGGACTGTCGACTAGCCACATATAATGCACAATATGAACTTACTAAATCAGGAAAGAGATATTGATAATAATTTATTCAATCAATTTATCACGTTTGTGGGGTTTCTGTTATAAAAATTAAGACAAATTGGTCAAAATTCGGTATGGTTTAAACAAAAACTTCTAAGCCCTTTAGAAACTAAATTGATAGTTTTCTTGTAGTAAAAAGTTAAAAGCTCAAGGGCTGATTTATGAAAGATCGTTTGAATTCCATCAGGACAGTTCAAATTAAATATATTCAATAAAAGACTTACTCTGTACACAGCCCTACTGAGACCAATTGATCCATAAGCTTCCCATTCAACTAAAATCAATCAATCAAATCAATCAATAAATCAATCAGCACAAAAAGCCCAAAAAGCAAAAATATAATAAAAAATAAAAAAAATAAATGAAATAAAATTAATTGTTTATTTTTACATCAATTGAGGCACTTTTCTCTCCCTCCAGGTATATTTTATTCATCAAGGTTGGACACAAGAACACTCCCTTTAATCCAGTATCTAAACAGATAGATAGATAGATATTCAAATAGATGTATTGCAGTTTTGATAGATAGATAGATTGATATATTAAAGATAGAATAATAGAAAGATATTTAAAATAGATAGATAGATAGCCTTTGAACATAAGGACAATATTGTATGATATACTAGTTGAAGTGCCCGGCGGTACCCGTGGAATTTTGAAATCAACGGAAAAATTCGAATTTTTAAGAAAAAATATGTCAGCCATCAATAGTTAACATTAAGAGTATATATAATATATATATACACATGAGCAAAGAGGTTTATTTTATATATACACATGAGCAAACAGGTTTTATATTGCACCTGTATCCTCCGTGAGATGAGGTGGAGCATAACCCTTGAGAGCTGATACAACCTCCTCCTCTTCATTCCAGCCTTAGCAATCAATCAATCAATCAATCAATCAATCAACCAATGAATAAGAGAACCAATGAATTAATGAATCAATGAATTAATGAATTAATGAATCAATGAATTAATGAATCAATGAAATAATGAAGCAATGTATCAATGAATATACAATCAATCAATCATTGAATTAATCAATTAATCAATCAATCAATCATTGAATTAATCAATTAATCAATCAATCAAGTAATTAAATCAACCAATTATTAAATAAACCAATCATTAAATCAACTCAATAATATCAATCAACTTAATCTATTCAACCAACCCAATCACCCAACCCAACCAAACACCCAACCACCCAACTACCCAACCACCCAACCACCCAACCACCCAACCACCCAACCAACCAACCNAAATGGTTAAAGCACTAGGGAAGATGAACTGACGCACGACACCGTCACCGACCCTAATATATATAATACATATATATACATATATATATATATATAAAGGGAGATCAAGCAAATATTTCGAGATTATGGTTGAAATATCATTTCTTATTAACATTTATTGAAGAAAATAATAAGTCATCTAAAAAACGCCAAAAATAAATTTATATCCGTTAAATATTTTAACACATAAAACAATAATTTAACTCATCAATGAATCATAAATGATTTTAAATGAATAAATGAACTGAGAAAGAAATAAAAATATGGATATATAAATAAATGAATGAATGAATGAATGAATGAACTTAATTAACAGTTAAAAACGTACTTCACCGTTTTCTCCGTTTTCTGTCATCATCCCAACAGCTTCCTCCACACTTCCCACATCAGATATGTAAATATGGCTGGAGTGGGCCCTGTAATATGTAAATATGACTGGAGTGGGCCCAGGAATAAGTAAATATGGCTGGAGTGGGCCCTAGAATATGCAAATATGGCTGGAGTGGGCCCAGGAATATGTAAATATGGCTGGAGTGAGCACTTGATTATGTAAATATGACTGGAAAGGGCCCTGGAATATGTATAAATGACTAAATTGCACCCTGGGTGGAAATAAGCGCGGGCTTTGGAATAAAAATTAGATCAATAAATCAAATAATACACGTTAATATTACTATACCTTGCTCTTATAATTGAATAGCTGTCCACTCTGATATTAGATTTCCCAAATAGTTTAAAATGAAGAGGGGTTCGGGTTCGGCTCTGAATCCTTTTTAACAATGCCTAAGAAAATAATTTTTATTATATAATTATTCTACTTAAAGAACAACCGGTTGTTCTATCAATTTAGGGACGGAGCTCCTCACTCAACCCATTTTACGAAAGGAGATTAATAATAATAGTAATATTAATTGTTGTCTAATTGGTTTTTTGAATTGTTAACATCTTCAGAGCTGGGAACTTTAAATAGACGGAATGAGATTAACTTATTCTCTTCTTCTTCGAGAGGATTAACCAATTTTTTGTTGAACTTAGAACTGATAAACAAAAAGGAAGTCAACTTAAGCACGAATAGCAAAAATAATCTTTTGAACTTAGCTAGTGTTTAATCAATTCGATTTGTCATGATCTAACCTGATGAACATGATCTTGTATTGATCTAACCTGATGATCATGATCTTGTATTGATCTAACCTGATTATCATGATCTTGTGATCTAACCTGATGATCATGATCTTGTATTGATCTAACCTCATGATCATGATCTTGTATTGATCTTACCTTATGCTCATGACCTTGTTATCTAACCTGATGATCATGATCTTGTATTGATCTAACCTGATGATCATGATCTTGTATTTATTTAATCTGCTCCATAGGCTTATATCACCAGAATCCGTAGTTACCTTAAATCAATCANTGTGATCTAAACTGATAAACATGATCTTAATTTATCTAACCTGATGATCATGATCTTGTGATCTAACCTGATGATCATGATCTTGTGATCTAAACTGATGAACATGATCTTGTATTGATCTAACCTGATGATCATGATCTTGTCTTGATCTATCCCTGATGATCATGATCTTGAATTGATCTAACCTGTGATCATGATCTTGTATTGACCGAACCTGATGATCATGATCTTGTGATCTAACCTGATAATCATGATCTTGTATTGATCTAACCTGGTGATTATGATCTTGTGATATAACCTGAACTTAATCTTGTAATGATCTAACCTAATGATCATGATCGTGTATTGATCTACCCTTATAATCATGATCTTGTATTGCTCTAACCTGATGATCATGATCTTGTGACGATCCTGTAAGCTGATCAAGGATCCTCTGTTCAACCTCGTTTATTTCTCTTCCAGATGGAAGATCCTCAGTCTAGCATTGACATTCATTCATTAAAAGACGAATTAATTGATTAATTGGCAAATTTTAAATTTTTTCTTGACAGACTGATTTTTAGTTTTGGGTGCTTAATTGATTGATTTATAGTTTTGCTTGGTTTATTGATAGACTTTTAGTTTTGATTGATTGATTTATAGTTTTGCTTGCTTATTTTACTGATTATCAGTAGTGATTAATTAATTTATAGTTTTGCTTGATTGATGGACAGAAGAAAAGAAAAAAAGGAAAAGAAAGAAGGAAAGGAAAGAAAAAAAGNCTTGATTGCTTGTCTGCTTGATTGATTGCTAGTTACCTGGAGGAAAAGTCCAGCCCCATTATCTGGGAGAGGTTTAAACCTCTCGCTACTCTCTGCTTGGGAACCTGAATAAATAATTTTAAAGGAATTAAAGGTGTTTATGAAATAAATCGTGATTATTTCATAAACTGATGGATAATATTATTCTGTTAGAATGATTTGATGATAATTTTAACTTTGAATTGATGTTCTATCTGCAGCATTTTCTCTTCTTAAATATCAATCAAATTTTTGCAGACTTGTCAATTATTTTTTAGATACAAACGTACAGACAGACAAACAAAGTATAATTATAGAAGCTTAAATATTTAATATAGAAATGTAATTAGATTTGCTTGCCTGGACTGTTGAGCAATTTGTTCTCTAATCTGTATCTACTCTCCTCTCTTCTAGATTATACACAATATCCAATCATTATTATTTTTGATATCATAAATTAAATATATTATCATATGATATATTTATATTTTTTCATATAAGAAAGAACACAAACAAATTATTTGTTTAACACTTAATTTTGTAATCAAATTATAAACATTTTATGCAGGTTTGTCTGCGCGGAGCGCTAAAATTTGAAAAAAACAATTAAAATTTTGAGTACTCAGTATCAAAAACATGGCAAAATTTACCTTTTAACATTTTGTCCCAATTATCAGAAATCAACCCCCCCCCCCAGAATCATTATAATAATAATAATAATAATAAACCTCCTATCCCTCTCCTCTTTAAAGAACTGATCTCTTGACTCTGATATCTCCTTATTCTTTACTTCGTCAACATTGTGATCAGGGTCAAAATAAGAAGCAGAACAACTGAATTAAAGTCAAGGTAAAGGTTGAATACAAAGTCAAGATGAAAGTCAAGGTCAAGGTCAAAGTCAAGGTCATAGTCAAAATAAGAACCAGAAAAAATTAATAAAGGTCAAGGTCAAAGTCAATTTTACATTCAAAGTCAAATTTAAAGTCAAAGTGAAAGCCAAGGTCAAAGTCAAAGTCAAAGTCAAAGACAAAGTGAAAGTCAAGGTGAAAGTCAAAGTCAAGATCAAATTCGATGTAAATGTCGATGTCAAGGTTAATGTAAAAGACAAGGTCAAGGTCAAAAACTTGTTTACCTGATACTAAAGGGGGCTTTCGCCACAAGACTTCCGTCCACATTTGTTTGTTTAATAAACTGGTCTAGCAGTACAACTGTACTGCCACCTCGTCGACGAAACCTGTTTATAAACATTGATTTTATAATTGAAGGAATTGCCGTAATTTCAAATTCAATCGACCCTCCATTTGAACAGTGGTATGTCCGATTTACAACAGTACCATTCGAACCTTTGTCAGATCAGTGATCAAAATTAAGTGTTAGGAAACGAGAATGAACACTAACATGATGTTCACACTGTATCCTTGATTTTTCAGAATAGAGAGATTTACTTCATCCATACTCAGACAAAGGTTTAAAGGGTTCCATTGTGAACCGGTGATGACAATCTTTTTAAAATGCAAAGTCACTTAAAATTACGTCTACAGTCCCTTTGAGTAATTTGTTGTTTTAATTATTTTGTGTGAAAAAGAAAAGTCATGAATTGATAGAAACTACTTTACTTCTATTTCCATTTTTCATCCATCATTTTTTATCCATTTATCCATTTATAACTTTTTTATCCATTTATCCGTTTATCCATTTATAACTTTTTTATTTTTTATCCATTTATCCATTTATATTTTGAGTCTCGCAGTATAACTTTTTTATCCATTTATCCGTTTATCCATTTATAACTTTTTTATTTTTTATCCATTTATCCATTTATATTTTGAGTCTCGCAGTCGTCTTCTTATTCCAAAGTTTTACGGGCCCTAAAGTAAGTAAGTAAGAATCATACAGGGTATCCCAAAATAACATTCTTTGAGATACTGCGGCTCTTATAATGGTTTGATTTTTTAGACATTTTCGAAATCTATGTAACATTACCAATAAATGAACATCAATATATCTTAAAGATCGTTTTTTTGGAGGGACACCCTGTATAGGAACCTGAAAGAGGAGTTTCTGCCCCGAACCCAATAATTGGAAGAAGTTGAGATCTGTCTCCAGGTAGAGCTGGTCAACCCAGGAATCTGTCTCCAGGTAGAGACGGTCAAACCAGCAGCGGTCAATCCAACCCGTTCTAAACATTTGCTACTAAGTAACTAGATAATTGTAGAATGATTGTTGTCTTCTTTATTTCTTTTTTCATAAAATGTCAAATCAAATCAAATCAAATCAAATCAAATCAAATCAAATCAAATCAAATCAAATCAAATCAAAAAATCAAATCAAATTAAAAAATCAAATCAAATCAAATCAAATCAAATCAAATAATCAAATCAAATCAAATCAAATCAAATCAAATAAAAAAAATCAAATGAAATCAGAGTTGAAGGGACGCTCTAATCTTGATACTGTTGTAAAAAAGATAAATAAGGAATAAAAAATATAAAAAAATCGAAACTAGAAGAAATTTTTAAAATTTTTGTATAGGATTACATTTTGTATATTTCACAACCCTATTATTTCCCCCAAAAGTAAAGAATATAACCATTAAAAACTTAGAACATCTGATTTTACATAACCAAAAAAACTTCTTGCAAAAATTTTGCGAACATTATCATTAGAAACCTTTGTAGTTTTTATAGATATGAAACTTATTAAAATAAAATTGATGATTAACATTAGAAACACATATATGCTCTGTGTAGATTTTAAATCAAATACTTATTGATATTCATGGGTTCAAATATTATTTTGGATAATAAAAAATTGTATATATATGCATTTTCGTACAAGTTTGAAACAGCTTTATATCAACTCTCGAGTTAGGAACTTCAGATAGGCGTCTCAAGGGTCTCGATGAAAAGCTAAAGTGATTAGCTTTCAGCCTATACCCCCTTTCATTTTTCCTTTACTGTCCCTTTAAGTGAAGCATGGCAAAACATTAAATTAATTTAAACACAAAGATATTTATAATATTGTAAAAGATATTAACAAACTGTTGAAAATGCCAAGAAAATTGATATTAATATTAATATTTTGATGTGCAAAATTACAAATTACAAAGTTGTGAATAGGCAATATAACTAAATCAGTTCTAAGCCCAACTAGACAGAACTTTGTGACCTTTTAGCTCCTCTACCTTTGATTTGATGCACAAGTATCCAATTAGAAATTCAAAACATTTTTGTTCTTCTCAATAGCTCTTCTTTGCGAGGAGTTATGATTGAAAACACATAAATTTACTTTAGTTAAACGTGAACCCTATAAAATAACGTGAACAACTAAAAATATTCTCAATACTGATAAATTTAACATGAATCAAAATACTGTCGACGTCGTATATATAAGACAACTTATCTGTTCAAGTTTAGCTTTCCAACAAGATTTCTTCAAATTACAAGTTTAAAAGTTATCAAAGAGAATCTGTTAATTGACAGCTTCTATTTCTTTCAATGTTTAAGTGTTTCCATGCTTGTTAAAAATCAAAATTGAAATCGAAAAACGTCTATCATTGTATTGATATATATGACGACTACTGTAGTACAAAATCAATGCTTCAAAAAACATGTAAAAACTGGTTTAAAAATATATTAAAAATTACCTAAATGCCAATTTAGTAGTCCAACCTATCCTTGGAAGACAATGCAAGCTCATTTTCAAATAAATAAATAAATTTTCCCAGACTGAATTCTGAAAGTATGTGACTGTGTTTCAACGATCTGTATGAATTCAATAAAACTTCGATACAACTACAACTCCTGGTCTAAAACTAAATAACGTGTTACGACTAAAATTTTAAATTTCAGCCTAAATGTCTGCACGAAACACTTAAACCGTATCTTTAAGATTAAGCTTAAATATTTAACTTTTAATTTAACATTTAACAGCTGATGTGCAATGGTTTCGATATCTCTGACCGGTCCGCTCGTAAATCCTTTTCTCTCATTGGTTCAGATTTTTCCCGGGAAATTCAAATTTCCCTTCAGGATTAAAAAGAAAAAGGTTAATTTTAAGTAGCAAGTCATTATTTTACAGACATTTTAAGCTGTAACTTACACTAGTTCAAACCTCGCGCATTCTTTAGATTTAGACTCAGGAGTTTAAACTAATACTTAGCCAAATATAAAAATAACGCGTTGAAAAGTCAAGTTTCAGAACAACTTTTAAAAATGTAATAAATTGTTTTAAATTGTTGAAACTTGAAAAACTCAAACACGATCTTTTATTATCATTGCTAGTTTAATGCTTAACATACTTCCTATAAGACATTTTCTGAAAACCAATTTCGAAATGTGAATTTTTCTTCATAAACTTTACCACAGTAACCAACGAGCCCTCGCCACAAACTCTGATTTACTAAACCCTACGTCTTGGAACCTGGTGGTGTAAACCTTTGAAAAAATAAGGTCTAAGACATCAGATTTCAGATTATGAAGATATAAGGACATGAAGTGTTAGAGTTTGATGTTGTTGTTTATGATAAAAAAACTACAATTTCAACAGTTTATGAATGTTTAAGGGACTGTAAGCGTAATTTCAAGTGACCCTCTAAGCAAAGATGACAATACCCGATTCACAGCAGTACCTTTAAAAGCTTTATCTAGATAAAGCATGAATGAGATATCCATTGTTTTTGTGTCCTTAAACTGTTAACTTTTTTATGCGGTTTCTATGAAACTTGCACATTTCTAGCTTATAAGAAGCAATGGAGTAACTTTCAGAATTAAACACTTTACGAATCAGGAAAACGACGGTATCTTAACAGATAAAGGTTTTAAGAGTATCCTTGTGAGTCGGACATTGCTATCTTTGCATGAAGGGTCATTTGATATAACGCTTACAGTCACTTTAGGGTTTGGTTAGGACTCCCTGATATTGACTATATCGGAAAAATTACATATGAAAAATATCACAATAGAAATGACAAATGGAAAAATGTCTTACAGGGAAAGTAGGTATAAATTTGTTTACAATTATATGGCTACTAGTTTACGTATATTTAAAGTTGGCCCAGCTTGGGGGTCCATCTGGGTAGGATTCATCCCAACCAACCGGTTTCTGGGGTCTGAAATGTAAACAATCATGAAATAAGTAAACAAACAAGAAATATGTAAACAAACAAGAAATATGAAAACAATCAATAAATATGAAAACAATCAAGAAATATGAAAACAATCAAGAAATACGAAAACAATCAAGAAATATTTAAACAAAAAAGAAATATGAAAACACACAATCAAGAAATATGAAAACAATCAAGAAATATGAAAAAAAAAACAAGAATATCAAATGAAAAATAACTTAGCAGGAGGGAGGGAGGGGGATGATTTTAAAGCTTTCAGAATAAAATGAAGAATTGGACAAAACTTTAAAGCTGAACCCTTTTGAATTCCCAGGCTCCAAGGCCCAAACAAAAAAAAACCAATATTTTATTTTGCGCTTCACTTACAGGAACTTATAACTCGGAACAAATTCTAAATTTTTGTTTCTTTTATCTTTGCAACCTGATGTGGAAATCTATAAATTCTGCGAGATTAAAGACTAACGCTATCAGCTGTGGCAAAGATACATGGATTTGAAAAAACAAAGCGTTTGTTTATTGCGATTTATCAGTACATTCTAAACTGACTTTTTTCTTTTTTTTTAAAAAGGTAAATAATCTTCAAGTTTAGGTCCAAATTTATATTTCATTTCCCACATTTTGGAAAAAAATTTAAAAAATGTTTCTCTAAATTATATTTTTGAGATTACCTGTAGTTTCCATCTTTATCTAGAGGAGGGTCTTTCTCAAGATCTCGTTTTATGAAAGTTCCACGATTATATCGTTTAGTTTTTATACCAGTATTTCTAACATAATATTATTGTCATTGACATTTCTATCGTCATCCTCATCGTCATCGGCATTATCATTGTCATTGTTATTGTCATTGTCATTGAGATTTTCATTGATATTGTCATTGTCATTGAGATTTTGTTGTTGTTGTTATTATAAATATTATTATCATTATCATTATTATTATTATTATCATTATTATTATCTTTATTGTTATTATTATCATCATTATCATTATCATTATTATTATCTTTATTGTTATCGCTATTTTATTTCATTGTTCATTGTTCACTGTTCTGTCTTTGTAACAACATTTAAACACAAATTATTATTAAACCTTTGAAGTCTGAATTGGGAGATTAAAACCCTTCAAAGTTAAATTTAAAAATGATTAAATATTTAAAAAAAAATTCTACAATTTAATGATGCTATTAATATTATGTCCCTGTAATGACTTCTTTCGTTTAAATATTCTTCTTTTACTGCTTCCTAGAGAATAAAACTACCGTTTTTAGAATATAGGAAAAAATGCAATAATAATTGGTTTACATCTTGAAGATATTATTTTTACCTGTGCTACCAATTTGATGTTCAATTAACATTAGAAACACATATATGCTCTGTGTAGTTTTTAAATCAAAAACTTATTTATATCTATTGATTTGAACATTATTTTGGATAACAAAATATTTTTTTTTACCTGGAATTCCGGTCTATCAAACCAGCCTTTTTGACAATCCATCATTAGATCCCGAACATCTCTATCTCTGCACACAAAATATAGCATTTATACTAGACATAAGCTTTATGAAAATAATAAAAACAGTTTGAATAATGCGGGTAAAATATTTATGTTGAACTTCAGACGAACTTTTCGAAAACTTTAAATAATTACAACAAGTCCGCAACTTAATCTTTTAGATTCTTTTCGGTTTATATTCGGCCTGTGGTTTATCATTTTGCAACCAAATGTTCATTTTTCGCATTAAGAACATTTTATTTTATTTCTTCAACGGGTTAGACCACTGTGCCCCTCCCCAAAAAAAATAACCCTGACATGAATTCTGTACCTGCAAAAGTTTCAAGAATTACAGGTCTTTTAAATTAAAATTTTTTTTGTTGTACGTATATTTGAATATTCAGTTCAACAAATGGGATAAATGGACCAAATATACCAAATATACCAAATATTATAGCAAATAAAAAGAGATTTACCTGCAATAATAGAACATGCTAAATCCATTATCTTTGGAGCATTTACTAAAATTCTCCACCTCACTGAATAATCTCATATAAACCAAATGAATCCAAAGGCTGAATTTAAATTTGAGCCGTGTCTCAAATTTAAGACGCGGCTCAAGAAGCATGGTTTGTTACACTTGAAATTGTATTTAGTGTTTCGATATTTAACCCGGCACTCAGTTGGAACCGGGTTTGGTGGATCAGCGACGTGGTTTAAATTCTTGGCTCGGATTATTTTCAGCTGTTATCGGTATAAATTGGCATAACAAATAACTTAACTAAAACCCGTCTGTAATACCATTTGAAAACCCTAAATTCTGCGAAATATTAAATCACTAAAAACAGTTTTAAAAACTGATTACTTTTAATTGTGGTTTCTCTACAAAAGTATTAGACTGCAACGCAGGAATGATCAGAATTAATAATTAAAAACCGAAAAAAAACCCGAAAATATTTTCCACATTTTAGATCATATAAAGGTGTCAATGGTACCGCTGTGAATCCGTCATTGCCACCTTTGCATAGAGGATCACTTGAAACTACGCGTACAGTTCCTTTAATTTTTGTGTTTAAGGATTCCTGGTGCAGGTTTGAGTTCTTGTAATATCTCTCATTCTCTGAGGTATCATTGGGTCCTCCTCCATCTTGGATAGTTCTCTTAGAATAATAAACAAAATTAAACTTAAATAAAAGTCTTGACGAATCCTTACCCCTCCCCTGGGAATAACAGAAATGTAAAAAGTATTTTTGTTTCATCTGTGATGGAAAGTATGGACAAAATTCACAATAAAACTTTTTGGTAAAAATGTTTTAAAAAAAGCTTTCATAAAAATCATGCCATTTATTTTATACCCCAACCCCCCCTCCCCCCCATGATACTGAAAGTAATAGAGAAAAAAAATTTCGGAGCAAAAATAATTGACTTCTTGGGAGGAAATGTAGCATGCAAACTTCCTTTAATTCGAGATTGGATACCCCCTAAGTACCTGTAGAAGGGGTCTCCTAACCCCTTGGGTCCTCCATACATATGCTGCGGAAATATTCGTCTTTCCATATGAATATTATGCTCACTATGATTATTCTGGGATAAAAGTTAATAAATCTTTAACAATGATTATATAGATGTTAAATAATAATGATGATAATATAAAGAAAATGATAAAAATGATAATATTGGTGCTAATTATGACGATAATGATGATGATAATAATATTGGTAAAATTAATAATAATCATAATGCTGATAAAAAGAATTATAATTAATCTATATTATACCACATTCTTATAGACTTACTACGTGGCCAAATCAGGAATATTTCTTGCTATTGTCACCCATTTTGTGTAATAATTATAATTATACGTGTAAAGGTGGTATAATATTATTATGCGTAGGAAGAAAGTGTAATAATCAAAATTATTGTTATAATATTGAAAATAAAACCGTGGAATAATTTTGATTATTCACCGAAAGGCGCATAATATATTATTTTACTTTAAAGAATATGTATATATCAGTCAAATTTCTTCTTTATAATTTCATAATCAAGATTTATCACTTTCCACATTGTAATTATCAAAATCATATTTCTTTGGAGTGTCCTCGTCCATCACACGCTGATTGAAAACCATATTCCCCATTTTTAATTCTGAAATTATCAATTCAAATTTTAACCGCGCTTTTTTTACATGTGTGTCAGGCGAAGTGTACACTTGGACTGTGAACACGGATTTCCGATCCTTTTATTTTCCCGCATTTTCTTCAAGTTCTCTTCGCTTGGCTTCTATGATCAGAAGGCGTTCTTTGATATCCTGGATGAAAAGGATCATCTTCTGGTTGGTGAAGAGGTCCCCTAGCTCGTAGAAGCTGGGAACTATCTCCCCGTCCTCCTGAAAGTAGTGGTGGGAGTCTGGTCCAAGGATCTTTCTCAAAATCATGTTCCTGGCAGGGTTAAAGTAATAGTTAGATCAATCAATCAAATCTTAAAGGAAAATTTAACTAATTCTTAAGTATTTATATTTCTTAAGAAATTCATGAAATGTAATAACAAAATCAATAAAAATTCTTTCCAAAATAGTTTGAAATTTGATTTTAAAGTGGGGAGAGGCGTACCCCGTACTGACCTATTTATAAGTTTGTTAAAGTATTCTATAGCTGCCTCTGCCTCCCCCGAGGTTCTGATGACATCTGGAAGAGGTAATCTCTCCCCGTTAAACTTCAGATGATTGTGAAGCAGAATCAGGGCTACCATACATATATACCAGACCAGGGCCTGTATTCCTAGCCTGATACAATCAATCAATTAATTAACGTGAATTTTTAGTACAATTAACCACAATAAAAAACTGCATAAAATGATAGTTCCAATGTTCAAACTAAGATCAACCCAAAACCATTCCCAAAACATTAATTGCATTTAAGATTTTGTACAGAAAAGTTCAACCAGAAAACCATGGAAGGAATGTCGTCTTAGCCCTTCGTTATACTAAAGAAATGTCGCTGAGGACTTTGAAATCTGCAATTGCTGCAACTGATATCCTAATATTTTTAGGGCACTTTTGTTAAGAGAAAGTTTTAAAAAATCCTGAGCAACCCTTTCATTATCAACTACTTTCTGGCAACCACTCTATATATGTAACATGACTTCATAAACAGTTAAAGGCATTGGCAATTGAAATATTTTGTGATTGTCCCGCGTCTGGGGTCCAGGAAAGTAAACATGGGATAGACAATTTTCCCATTATTTTATATTTGATATTCAAAGTATAAGTTCTGCTAGATCAATAAATTTGAAATTTTAAAGGGATATACCATCAGGTTGCAAATATATAGGTAATATACATTTTTAAGTGGAACCAACCATATTAGAGCTGCGGCTTAAAATTAAGCCGCGGCTTATTTTTTTTTAATTCGGCCTCAGTTCCTCTTACCTCATATATTTTGGTTGTGAGAAAAGGTTTAGTTTTTGATTGATAATGGCACCAAGTGAGTAATTAAACAAGATCATAAAACCTGGATAAACAGACAAATATTGCTTTGTTTCAAATGTTTAGAAGTGACAATACAATTTTTCATGAATTTCATTAGAGGCAAATTTACAATTATGACTGAAAGATTAATTATAAATAATTTCTCTTGTTTGTGATAGTATAGGCTAATTTTAGACTTGCGCTGGACCGTACGGTATCGGTTAATGTACATAGGGTACTAGTCGTTAAAATGGACAAACTGCAACTATTCATTATTTCCAATGATCTTTTGGCTTGAACAATAAAAATTCAGACAGACGGCGACAGGATAAAATATTATTGATCATTCGTTTAGGATCTTTTTTTTAGGGAAACTCTACATCTAACATAAGATTGAAACAAAAATGTATATTTTTTAGAATTACCCTCACCTCTGGGGGTTACTTATATGATTAGAAGAAAAAATGAAAATTTGGACATTAAAAGGCAAAATTTTTTTTGTTCAATTTAACAGTTTTTACCCAAAAATATATTTATTATCTGAAATGCAGCGAGAAGACCTTGAAATAAATAAACTTTCGTTAATTTCAAAGTTTTTTGACAAAAAATGCATCAAAATGTCTGATTCCTGGTATTGGTATTCTGAACCAAGATTGGTAGGAGTTCGCTTTCCGTAGAGCAAGTGTTACTAGAGATACAATCCTCAACAGTTTATTTGAAGGGACAATTCACATTATTTAAGTGTCCTCCACTTAATAAGAAAAAGATACATTCCCGATTCACGACGGTACCCTTGAAACTTAATATTCATACGCGGTTTTATTTCAGAATTAACATGCATATTTCTGCAGTAGATAAAATGAACAAAATGGTGGGAAATGACAAAAGCTCCAGCATTTTTACTCAAATAAATGTTAAAGGGTATCATTGTGAAATGTACGTGCCACTTGTTTTTTAAATTGTAAGGCCACTTGAATTTCTGTCTTGGTTTTTTATATGCCTCCTTGCATATTCTGGCAAGTGGTCGGAGCTCGACCCTGGAGCTCAACGTAACATAGCCTACAGGACATGATACTTTGACTTTAGGTTGAATGGTAATAATAATAATAATAATAATAGTTCCTTTAAGAGATTTAAATGAGCTCTGATGGGATTTCCTATGAATTCTCTCTCTTCATTTGTAAGAAGTAAATTCTTCTTCAATTCTTCAAGATCTTCCGCTGATGCATCTTCAGGTATTCTGAATCCTGAAATACTTTGGTATTTCATTGATTAATTTATACATATTCATGAATAATTAATTTATACACATTTCATGAATAATTGATTTATACATTTTTCATAAATGATTAATTTATACATATATCATGAATGATTAATTAATACATATTTCATGAATGATTGATTTATACATATTTCATGAATTATAAATTTATACATATTTCATGAATGATTGATTTATACATATTTCTTAAATGATTGATTTATACATATTTCATGAATGATTGATTTATACATATTTCATGAATAATTAATTTATACATATTTCATGAATGATTGATTTTACATACATCATAAATGATTGATTTATACATACATCATGAATGATTGATTTATTCATATTTCATGAATGATTAATTGAACATATTTNATTTATTCATTTGTTCATTCATTTGTTCATTCATTCATTCATTCATTTATTCATTCATTTATTCATTCATTCATTCATTCATTCATTCATTCATTCATTCATTCATTTATTCATTCATCCTTTCATTCATTCATCCTATCATTTATTCATTCATTCATTCATTCATTCACCTATTCATTTATTTATTTATTTATTTATTCATTCATTTATTTATTCATTCATTCATTCATTCATTCATTCATTCATTCATTCATTTATTCATTCATCCTTTCATTCATTCACCTATTCATCCATTCATCCATTCATCCATTCACCTATTCATTCATTCATTCATTCATTCATTCATCCTTTCATTCATTCATTCAATCATTCATTCATTCATTCATTCATTCATTCATTCATTCATTCATTCAATCTTTCATTCTTTCACTTGTTCAATCATTCAATCTTTCATCCTTTCCTTTATTCAATCATTCAATCATTCAATCTTTCATTCTTTCACTCATTCAATCATTCAATCTTTCATCCTTTCACTCATTCAATCATTCAATCTTTCACTTATCCAGCCATTTATCTTTTTATTCTTTCACTTATTCAATCATTCAATCATTCCCTAATTCATTTATTCCTTTACTTTATTATTACTTTATTCCTTTACTCCGGTATCCCTTTATTACTTTATTTCTTTATTCCTTAACACCATTTTTATTTTTATTTTCTCTATCCTTGATCCATTTATCCATCCTTTATTCAAAATTATAACCTTACAATAAACATTTCATTTACCTTTAAAGAAATAATTCCAACACGGTTTAACCCTAAAAAAATAAATAAGCTAAGAGATTTCTTAAATATTGAATTTTAAAACTCTGAAATAACACTTTAAACAAATCTAAAATACTACTTTTAATTTTCCGAACTTTAAATTGAGTTATTGAGTTATCCTGCAGTTTCATTTAATTTTAAAAGAAATCTTGCAATGAAGTGCTTTAGATCTAAATATTGATAAAAGCAATAAATTATTTACCTGAGGGTATTAAGATCTATTTCCTCTGGGGTTGTCCACATCATATACCGGGGAAACCCTAGTGATGCACCTTCCCTGATAAATCAATCAATCAAATAATTGTTAAATCAATCAATAAATCAAATAGACAATCAATCAAATCATCAGCCAGCCATTTAATCCATCCAACAGTAAGTCAATTAAATATATCGATGAGTCAATTAGAAAATCAGCCTATTAATCAATCGATTTAACATGATTCAAGTTTTGATTTAATTTATATTTTTAAGTCAAGCGTCAGAACGGCCGATAAAATATTAAGTCAGTCTGTCAATAAAATAAATTAATCCACCATTAAATCACGTTAAATTGTCCATCAATCAATCAATCAGAAAATAAAGTAACAAATCAATCAATCAAACAGTCAATTAAACAATTAGCGAATCAATGAGCCAACCAATAAGTAAACCAGTCAATAAATCAATCAACCAATCAATTATTTAATCAATTGGTGAATACATGGGCCAACCAACCAGTAAATCAATCAATCATCAAATTGATTTGTCAAGTTGTACCTGCAATGTGTAGTTCCTATAACAACTGGATCCAGAAGATCAGTTGTAAATACTTCAACAAACTCAGATTCTACCTCACTTAACCCTAGACATCACGATTTTTTAAGGGGATTGTTCAATGTTTATTTAATAGAATAGTGCTATTAAAATTTAAATTCATACACACGAAAAAAACACCAATAAATCAAAGATCTTTTTGATCTCATATCCAAATAAGTAAATCAAAAAGTCAGAAGACTTAAAGTCATCAATTTTTGTAGTTAAAATGTACTGGTAGCCTTTGAGACATTGTGAACATATGCATCAGCGTGTTAATGGTAAAGACTTATTCCTTTTACCGCTTTAAATCTAAAATTTCACGAACCAGATTAAATCTATTTGAGTCATGTCTAGAATTGGGTTGACCAGATACAGGGTTTGTTCATCTCCATGTCTTTAGAACTAGAGATTTATATTTGAATCCGTGGTAGGCAGTTCAGCGACTAGCTTTTACTTCCCTAAAATCTCTAATCATTTGACCTGCTTTATCCCAGAGTTTTCCATAAAGTTTAACAAGTTCATCTGGTGGAGGAGTTACGTCGTTCAACTCTCCACTGATCTTCTCCTTTGCAGTCTTCTTCACAGCTTTCTCAACCTCTTCGGCATAAGTAACCTGGACCAATCAGAATATAGGTTATTTTGTCTGAACCAGTCAGAATACGGGATATTTTGTTTGGACCAATTAGAATACAGGATATTATGTTTGGACCAATCAGAACACAGTGTTGTTTATTTAAACCACTTCTCTTCAACACCGGACAAGATTTAAGGAACAGCTACAGGTAATTGAATAATGTACTGATGAATCAACCAGTTCTCTTGTGGACCGGGTCAGGCAGAAGTGAATTGGTTCTGTTTAATCTACTTTTATCAACTATCTTTTCCTATTTAATAAATCCGGTCCCCAGCTCCACTTGAGAGAAGTGTTTTAACTTAATCTATATATTTACCTGGACTAAACTGGGTAGAATGGTTTCCGTTGTCCAGATTAATGCTGTAATACCAAAAGCTGCTCCTAACACAACCTTGAATAGATTTGAACATGAACAGCTAATAGAGAGGGATCTTTTGTAAATTTTTTGATAATTATCCAGGAAAAAAAATTTAATTAAGAGAAGAGTGTTCAATTCCGTTCAATAATGGATAGAAAAATACCTGTGACATTAAATGCAATTCTTGGAGGAAGAACTTTTTCAAAATCTTTTTTGTTTGAAAAATTTCTTGAAACATCAAAATATCTTTTCAACTTAGTGTGAGTACACTGATCAATTCTGCAAAGAAATGTTAAAAATATCGATATAAAAATAAAATTTAAAGATTATGCAAATTCTTCCTTGGAGCTAGTTTTACCCCCAGTTGGTAACTCTTTGCAAAAATTTCAACGTAATTAATTTTTTTTGTCTCTCTCTATTTTTCTCCTATTAGATAAGGATTGAAAAGAACATTTTTAAAAATGAATTAACTAAATACAGAGTTCCATTTTACGACAAAAACCAGCTCTACGGAAATATCTACATAATCTTTTCCCGCCAATCTTACTAAATCTACAAATTCGGAGAGAACCATTCTTTAAACAACCATTTTTTTATTTAAAACAACCAATCCTTAAACAAACTAGAATTAGACTTTCTAAAATTTATCTTTTAAGATTATTTCCAGCGGATCTTTCTTATAGTTAGTCTTTCATGAAATTTTCTTTCTTTCTGAAGTGTCTTCCTGAGTTTGTCTTTTAAAGCGTCTTTCTCAATCTAATTTTTTTTTTCGTCTTTTAGGAACTTGTATTTTCTCAATATCTAGTCTTTCTCGAATTCGTATATCCAAATTGTCTTTGTTCGTCTTTCAAGAACTTGTCATGGCGTCCTGATTTTTGCATTTTTTATTTAAAAAGAATTCTCTAAAGCTTGCCTTGTGAACCTCGAAAGCATTTTTCTGAAATATAAAAGTACAAAAATAAAATCTTTTATTCATTTCTACGATTCAGATATTCAGTGCTTTAACATGGTTGGTTCATTTCTGATTATTCAGTTTTCCGTTCATAGACTTCATACTCATATTTGATACCGTCCTCTTCCTGAAAAGAAAGCATATTAGTCAAAACTAAATGAGAGACTCCTTAAACATTAAAAGTACTACAATCCTTGAGGACCATGACCACCATATAGATCAAGTTGATCATGAAGGTCAAGTGGACCATAAATATCAAGTTGACCATAAGAGTCAACTTGACAAAAAAGATGAAGTTCACCATAATTATATAGTTCATCAGGATAACCAACTCGTCCATTGTCCATTGACCTAACAAAGTCAAACCAGATGCAATACTATTTACCTATTTACCCTGCTACATGAAAATAATGATCATGAAGACCTATTTACCCTGCTACATGAAAATAATGATCATGAAGACCTATTTACCCTGCTACCTGAAAATAATGATCATGAAGACCTATTTACCCTGCTACATAAAAATAATGATCATGAAGACCTATTTACCCTGCTACCTGAATATAATGATCATGAAGACCCTATTACTCTTCTACCTGTTGGATCGAATTGCTCTCAGAATCAGATTGCTTAATCCAATCAGCTTCTAGTTCAGGGAAAAATGCATCGCAGTCGAAATCCTAAAATTGACAATATTTCAAAACCACACAAGATTGAATGCAATTAAAGAATTTCTTATTTAATCAAAAGACAACTGCAGTTCAATCTGAAAGTAAATTCAACAGTGTAGTACTTAGTGTAGAACTTATTTCAAATTACAAAATTCTAAAAAGATCCATTACTTATTTAAGATTTTCCTCATGTAAAACTTATATTATTTTTATTACATTTTCTTCAATCAATCAAGCATTGAAATTAAAATGCAGCAAACACAATCCATCAAAATTAACTTTAAATTCCAGCTTACACAATTCAAAAAATATTATTAGAAAAAAGAATAAATTTCTATTTTTACCTTTTTAATTCTTGTGATGTATAATCTTGATAATTCTTAAATAAGAACTTATATTCAGCATACAATATATTTTCAGAGTGACAGTTAGCTTAATTTCAAATATATCTTCAGAGTGACAGTTAGCTTAATTTCAAATATATTTTCAGAGTGACAGTTAGCTTAATTTTAAATACCCCTCCATTTAAAAATGAAAATTGGCAATGCACAAGGCACCCTTTAAAGATTTGTCGGAAATAAGTTTAAATTATAAATAAATAAATGTTTAAAATTTTGAAAACTGATTATTTGTAATTGTGATTTCTCTTCAGAATTGAATTGCGCATTTCTACTGCAGGATACTCAAAGAGAAATGACAGAATCAAACACTATTCATGATGATGTCATCTTCCACGGTTTCAAGGGTACCGTTGTGAAAAAGACATATGGAGGGTCATTTAAAATCTAAGGGTTGTTTGTCTGATTCACAACGGTATCCTTTATAACTCTAACTGATTAAAACTGGTGAAAAAATAATTGTTTAAAATACAAATATTTGAATATAAGATGTTTCCTGGAGATTTCAACGCTTCCTGGTAAACTGAGGAGCCACCAATCACCCAGCAGATCTCAATTTCTTCTTAAATATTATTCCAGGTTAGGTTAGGTTAGGTTAAGAATGGTCTCCAAGGTCTTTAAAGAAGAGGGGAGGGGGGGGTAAGCAGGCGACATTTTTAAAAGATTTTATTTAGATCAATTGTTAAGGATGGTTGTTCGTTCATTTCAATATTATTTGACATTTAATCTTTTAATAAAGAATTCATAATCTCTGGCGAATCTTTGGGCATCTAACATTAATCTACTTCAATCTACCTCAATCTACCTCAATCTACCTCAATCTACCTCAATCTACCTCTCAGTTTTGTGTTGAGAAGATCTAGGGCTGAAGGAAAATCCGGGCAAACATAAACCCCCTCCTCAACCTTCACCAACTCAGCCTGAATCAAATCAATATAAATATTAATACACTGAGACCCATAAAACAGTACAATTATGAAGACGACATTCATCTATTTGAGAATTTAATGTTGTTAAAAATCTTAACTGTTTTAGTTTAAGAATAATTCAAAGTTAAAAAAATAATTTTTTTTTACATATAATAATAGGGATCAAACACCCCTTCAACAAAACATCAAAAAACTGATAAATTGATAGATAGATAGATAGATATGGTGGATAGTCAGATATTTAGATAGATAGATGGATAGTCAGATAGATAGATAGATAGATGGATAGTCAGATAGATAGATAGATAGATATATAGATAGATAGATAGATAGATAGATAGATAGACCAACCTGTGACGTGAGAACAATATTGATTCTATCCTTCAAGGGGCGGAATTTAGCTGGGATAGATTCCCAGGTTTTCCGACCCATCAGCACAGCATTCTATTAAACAGCAGCAGGGGTCAATCCAATTGCATCTCTGATTCCAATGGGATCAGAAAATAAACTTTCTATGTTATTGTGTACTGCACTTAAAAAGATGAAAATTTCAGTAATAAATATATGAGATAAATTTTGATAAAGAAAAAAACAAACACTCCTGGATAATGTAATAATGCAGTGAGGAATTTTTAGCCACTTGACGTCGTCATTTTTTTCTTTACAACACGGTCAAATTCTGCCAAGCATATCAATCAATCAACATTTGGAATTGCTTTGAATAGAATTTTATTTCAAACTTGTTGAATTTTTGGCTTATAAATCAATTTACAAGACTTTAAAGAAAAAGTGGATTTAATTACGAATTAAAACATTGGTTTTGTTTATATTAACTGAAATATTAAATATGAATACCTTTTTAGCTGGGGTTTGTGTGGTTTTAGTGAGATTGGCAAAATATTTCAGTTCATTTTTTAGACGCCAGGGGAGTTCTCCATTTTTACCGATGCCGAGGTTTTCACTTAATAAAAAATAATTGTCAAGTTTAAATCACTCTAAAGCCTTATTGCTAATATTAGTGAAGTGTTGCTAAATTGCTCAAATACGCCGAAATGATAAATGCGAAATCCACAAAAAATTTAGTTAAACCTTGTAAAATTTTAAAAACTTTCCATTAATACTCGAAAAGGAAATTTTGAAAAAAAATTGGGTTCTTTAAAAATGTCAAAATCTATTAGTTTCTTATCTTCAATAAGAGCGATTTCGGAATCTTATTAAATCAAATAGCCAGCTCCTTGATTTCGCCGAGGTATCACAGTCTCATCTAAACGATGAAAACCACAATAATATTGGGCCC